GTAGTCGTAATAGTAGTAGTAGTAGTAGTAGTAGTAGTAGTAGTAGTAGTAGTAATAGTAGCAGTAGTAGTAGTAGTGGTAGTGGTAGTAGTAGTAGTAGTAGTAGTAGTAGTAATAGTAGTAGTAGTGGTAGTGGTAGTAGTAGTAGTAGTAGTAGTCGTGGTAGTAGTAGTAGTAGTAGTAGTAGTGGTGGTGTGGCAAGGCTTCAGGCTCCCAGATTTACCAGTGAATTGAGCAATCAGCCCTGAAACGCCTCCAGTCATGCCGCCATAGCTGCGAGGCGCGCGATGCGCTCTTTCTCCTGCGTGCTGCAGGGAAGCACTTGCAAAACTTTGTCCTGGTTGGGCAAAAGCACAATGACACAACAATGCCTAGGAATACAGTGTACAATCCCCAAGAGTCGTATGTAATCCCAGAAAGCAACCCTGGCTTTCCGAGATGATCTAGAGATCCAGAAAGCGTGTGCAACTTGGAGATAGGCATACATGGGCCTACTATAACGGAGAATCAAAAAGAAATGAAAACTATGGTTCTAAAGGGATAAAAACCTGGCTGCATCTCTGACTTCGTTCCCCTTCTAGCCCCTGGTCTACTAGGATCCTAGAGCCATACGTCGCAGATCCTAACCCCAAACTCATAAAGACTCTGGACTCCTCAACCCCTTTAGCCTGCTGCCATCTCGAAACTGGGAGCAAGGCCCCAAACACCGCAACCCCAACAGCAATCCTTAAACCCTCCATGAACCCACGCCAGGACACTATGAATCCCCTGTCGTGCGCGAACCCTCTGAACCCCCACAACCCTCACCCTAGAACTCCATGACTACCTTGAACTCGAGACGCCAACACTTACCCTGAACCCCAAACCTCAACCCTAAACCCTAGACCCTAAACCCTAAACCCCTCAAACCCCATACCCCACCTCCCCCAAAACCCTGCAAAGCCATCCCCTCTTACGGCCTTGCGGAGGATGTTCTGATCCCTCAGGCGCTGGAGGCGCTCCAGGTCCTCCAATGCTTCCGGGCTTGACAGTACTGAAAACAATGATAATAACAGGAATATAATGTTTTCGTAATAGTAGGAACTGTAATAACAATAGTGACAGCAAAAAAACAATAACAATAAAAATGGCAAGAATACGAAAAAAAAGCATAGTAGAAATCGTCGTCGTCGTAGGAGTAGTAGTAGTAGTGGTAGTAGTAGTAGCAGTAGTAGTAATAATAAAAATAATAAGTTTGTCGCTATTCAATGGCTATGCCGGGCCTACGTCGGGTTAAAGACAGAAGTGCATTAAGTACGCAGCTATGCCGGGCCTACGTCGGGTTAAAGACAGAAATGCAGTAAGTACATAGGACAGGATGGTGCGGCCAGCGACGTAGTGACTGAGAAGAACTCGGGAGAAGGATCCCATCGGTTGCCGTGCAGCATTTCCCCAGCTCTCCACCCCAAAGACACAAGTAGTATCTGCCAGAAAAACATTGGCATTTCAACGTGATGGACCTGGGGGGTCCAGCGTTTTTCCGCCAGGAACCCTGAACACGAATCCCTTAGAGCCCTAAAACCCTCAATCCCTGTCCCTGAACCCGAAACCCGAACCCATCAGGCTCAAAGCACATCGAGGCTTTCTGAAGCCAAAACCGTGTCAAGCCCAAATCTCACAGTGCAGATTTTCCTCAAAGGAAGGGTCTCCTTTGGGTCCTCCTGGTCTGTTTGCATCCTTATTCTAAAGACCTCAACCAAAGTGGGGCCCACACAAACCCCATCACCATGTAGACTCAGAATGGAAAGTTGCGAGACGTCCTGCTTTTTTTTCTCAGCAGCTGCGAGGATTTCAGCCTCACCCCCAACCCCCACTGCACAAAGGCGTCCGCTAAGGCAAGGATCAGGATTTAGGGCCTCTGGCCTGGATCATGCATACAACTTACGGCTAAGAGGTTAACAAAATCAAATTTCCAAGCTCGGGGTTGAGGGCTCATAGCTCAAGAACGGAAGTACTTGAGCCAACTTGCCAGGACGAAAGGCGAAATTGACAAGAACACTACGCTCAGTGGTCTTCAAACCGTGGGTTATGCTACTGCTGGCATTCAAGACGACTTCTACATGAAAACTGCTTGCAATGATAATTGCCTCTTCACTACTTGAACTCAAGGAGTGGAAATGCAGAAGTATATCAGCTTACACAGAGCTTCAGGGCCATCTTCTCATCCCATTATTCACAGAAGACGCACGACTGGGTGCTGAACATAATACTGACTAGGTGTGCCCTAAACCTGATCCACGTGACTCTGAAACCGGAACACTACGTGCCTGAAGCTGCAGGCATTCAGCTGAATGGCGCATAAACCGTAATGCCTGCACCCCTTGGGAAAAAGGAAGCATCCCATAAAGGCCAGCTGGATGGCTGGCCCATCAAATAAAGACGCGCAGACTCGCATCTCACAGCACCAGGCCCCCCAACGTAGGATTGACAACCAATGTTTACCAAAAGAACAGGATGCCAAATTGGGGAGGGACTCTCAAACAAGAGCTCATCATGTTGAGAAACCTCAAAACCAACCCCACGCCGAAGGTGCCTCCCTCTCTTTCTGAATCAGTCTTCGCTCGGTTGCCTGCAGACCACAAATCGCAAACGTCCAGCAACCGAATGGCAACAGCATTGATATTATACAAGCCGGCATAAGAGAAAAGAAACAACTAGCGGGCACCACCCCCACCCCACTCAGAAACTCCTTCCAAGTCACAAGCATGCCTAATTGCAGGAAAAACGCTAGTCTCAACGGTGCTTGTAGCATGCCATCTGTAGATCCAACTCACAACTGCTGAAGCCCTGGACCCCAAACACGAAAGCCCGAACGCAACCTAAGACATCAGACAGTCGCTGCCCTGAAAATTCAGCTGCTTCCAGTCGCCGACTACCTCCATCCCGCCATTTTTTGAAAATACAAAGGTCATCTACCTGTTCCAAGCCATATTTGCTGCATTAAGTACGACAAGGTCTGCTATCTCAGCTCTCTTCTGTGAAGCAGCAGTTCAAGCCCTTCAAACTCCTGGCCCCAAACTCCAGCAGCGCGGCTTAGGGTTGCAGTTTCTTGGAAGCGTCCGCAGGAACTACTCTGCATTCCTCTGTATACTGCATGTTCATGATCTCCGTAGGGAATAAATAACACATATCCACGTCGTGGCTGTCATGCTTCGTCGTGTCTTTGCTTCGTTATATGTTGCCATTCTGTTTGTTGTTCTCCTCAACAAATGAAAGCAGATCCTGGCCATTGAATAGTAATATAGCAACTCCAGGTCCTGGAATTAAGCAAGTTTGGGAGTGTTCTCGATAACAGCCACAAGCTATGGGGTGAGGTCGGGTGAGTTCGTTGTAGTTTGCCCAGTGGCTGCTAAATGCTGTGAACCACTGCAAACGTTTGATTCCCAGAAAATGCAGAAACCGACTCTTGCCAAATCCAAATTTGTTCCGTTTTCTGGGAAAGTGGTTCTAGACCTCTGGGCCTTTCTTGTTCTTGAAGCTGAGCCTCGCACGTAATGCTATCTCCTTTGGATCTTCGGTCATGGGAAGGTCTTCAACATGCGGGATTCCACCAGCCATATTCAAATTATTCTAATCATTGAGAAATGTGGACATAGGAACCGGAACAGGGCCTTCTCATAAACAAAACACCATGGACGGTAGAATCGTGCCTTCTGCTCCTCCTCGAACTTCTTCTTTCTGTAGGCTTCCCGCACTTCCTCAAGATAAAAAGCAGCAAGAGCCATGCGGATGCAGGTTGCTCCAAAAGGGTACCATGAACGGCAGTTCAGGCCTTGTTCGTCGGGGTCGCGGGGCTCACAAGTGGCCCATGAAGGGATACAAGCGCACCCAAGGTGAAGAAGCTTCCAGACTGAAACCTAGGCCTTGGAAACTAACTCAAGGTCCCCTTTCTACACCGAAACCTATTGGTAGCATGATTGTAGGGGCACTCAACAAGGAGGAAGCGCCCAGAGCTTACCCCTGCGCCAGCCCTTGCTGTCTCCTTTTTCCACATAAACGATGGAACGCACTGCACAGATGTCTCAAAAAATGGATCCCGCTACCTCACCCATCACAACATCCTGTTTCGAGAGATCTCTGCTCTGCAACGCCTTTCCACAAAATGGTCACCCCTACGTGCTTCCAGAAAAGCCTTTCTTTGACATGGAGACCTCAGAAAGGGACCCAAATGTTGAGACATCCTACATCTCCAGCTCGTAAATCAACGCGGTTGTTGTCAGGGTCAACGTGGAGGTCGTCGCTGTCACAGAAGGCTCTGCAGCCTGGAACTCCAGGACGACCTTTCCTGGGATGCTCTGAGTCAATTTTTGGGGGATGTTTTCAGAAATCTGCAGGGACCCTGCCTTGAAAACATCAAAATAGCTCACCTTGCTAGAGGAAACTTGTCACCAATTGTAAAGCTTTTCTTTATCATACTGGTTCCGAGGCATGGAATACCAGGATGGATGACTGCATTCTTGAATTGGAATGAGAAGGACACTCGCCCAAAAGACTGCTAATGCGTAACCATGCGTCTGATGGAGATGGACAGGCAAAGGACGCCATACACGATGCTCATGGCAATAACCCCTAATTCTGCGGCGTTCTTGTGCTGGAGCAGGTCCCTTGAGGAGCGCACGCCCTTCACAACCGTCAAACGGAATAAGGCCGGGTACATGAATGCCTTGGACAGGCGGTTGTGCCATCTGAAACATGTCCATATACTGAGTCTTCCTTGAACCTCAATATGGAGACGTATCTGAATCTAAAACATCCCAAAGGCCGGCCCAGATGCAATGAAAGTACCTCCAAGTGATCCGCCGAGGGACATAATCACCTGCCGCATTCAGAAACGTATGGAATTTGGTTGCCATATAGATTATATGGTACGCATGCTCGAACTTCAACGTAAAATTCCAGATGCTCACGTTTCTCTACAGCACCAATACCTTTTTCCAGTATCCTTCTCCTACAGAACCGCAAACAATACCGTAAAATTTGAGGAAGCATTCCCTACCTTGGACCGCTGCTATAATACATTTAGGGCCTAGCCCAGGGGCTTAGAGATACAGTTGTAGAGGAAGTCTGTCCCCATGAAGGATCCAAAGACTGTATTCTCAGGATGTACTTAGATGATCTGTTGACTTCGTAAGTCTAATCCTTTCCCCTAATATTAAAGGGCGGTCCCCCCCCCTAACGTTTATTTTAACATGGGTGGGAGGTTGTTATTCATCGTGCGACCCGCACATTGGCGGGGGGTATGTAACAGGATCCTGTTGAAATCTAAAAAATTGATGAAGCAGTTTAAATCGGATAAAAGCCGATTAAATCGAATAAGAAGCCGTTCAAATCTCATCAAACTCGTAACCAGATCAATTAAAATCAAATTCACACCCAATAGGAAATCTAAGTAGCATTCAATACAACCATGTGAAATGCGTTTAAAACGTAATGAAACCCATTAACATCTATCTAAAGCCTAATCAAAATATAATCGAAATCTAAATACAATCTGAGAAAAACAAATGAAAATTCAACATTAAAAAAAACTGATCAAGAATCACCATAAACCAACCAAAATTGGCATCTAGATGTTATATAAATTCCTGTATAAAAGCCTTCAAAATCAATCAGGATCTAGGAAATGAAGGAGATCCCGAATCCCGAAAAGTTGCGGTAGGGACCCCCTAATTCACAGGATCCATGCCGTAATTAACTTTAATCTTGGCCCTTTTAAAAGTCATCTTGGGGACAGGTTTCAGAATGTGGAATTTTGGGGAACCCGAATTGCGTATGAAGGGGGGGGTTAATACTAGGGCAAAGCGATTACCTACTATCCCCAATAAGCCCTATTGAAAACCCCATAGCCCCTGCTACCAGGTAGACTTACGAAGTCAAGAAATCTCCAGGCAGGGCCCAAAAGGTGAAGAAGATTTACATTCACAGGGCATATGTTGGGGTTATAGTAAGGAACATAGTATTGGAGAATCGAATGGAAAATCATATGGAGTATACTGCCCTAAACCCTAAGCCCCAAACCCGGTATACTGTACACCCGCCTGAATGTTTGGAACAAGTGTAGCCAGGGTTAGAATCGACAGCATGAGCAGAGTAGTGGCCATGCACCACTCCAGCCTGGGCATTCTTTCCGCCAAAAATATGAAACCCTGAAGAGGGGCTCCTTGTAGACTACTGGTTTAGGGCCATGGGGACTTAGTAAGTAGGTTAAGACTGGGGATACTTGGGGTTATTATATGGCTTATAGGGGTTATTAAGCTCCTGAAGTCCCCATGACCCTCCAAGTACTGCCTCGTCAACAACAATCTTGTATTCCTATGGGATTTCATGCTAGGTCGAAGGAGGGGAAGGCCTTTGGGATGTTTCGGGGGGTTATGCAAAGAGTCTTGCAGTGAGGGGGGTAAGGGCTTACAGATTTAGCATATTTACCACCGTGGAAAATCGAAAACGTTTCCTGCTGAAGCTGATGATACCCTACAGACTCTAGGAAGCCCCAGAGTTGTTCTTTGCGCTCATATTTTGTCTAAGGTAGGCCAGCAGGAGAGGCAAATACAGCTGAAAAGCACGTAACGGTCATCATGAGCGGTAGATTGCTATCCTGGCTCCCCTCTATTTCACCCTGAGAAATAGCTACAAGCCAAGACAAGGATGAAAGCCATGCTGGTCAGGAGGCTCTACAACAAACACTGAGTTTGCTGGCAGGCACTTGTTTCGCATGGGTGTGCGGGTTTCTAGGTCGCTCCAAGCCTGCTTCCCCTTCTGGCTCATACTTCTTGCCGCGCAGCCTTGCACACCACACTGTCAAGCCATAAGCCCTGATAAACCTGAAACGCTAGAGCCCTACGAGCCTTCAAGCCCTAAACCCTGTAACCCATAACTATGAAGCCCGAAAACCCCAACCCACAATCTAGCAGCATGGAGGGCTCGCCATTCTCAATTTCCAGCACTTCCACTTCGGGCAGCCCGGCGCGCCTTGCCTGCATGGCACAGGCTGCCTGGCATCAGCATCTGTAGGAAGGCTTGGAGGCTGCTCAAAACGGGGGTCTCCAGGGTTTAGGGTTATGTTGGGGCTATAGGGGCTGTATTGGGGTGATATTGGAATTATATTAGGGTTGTATTGGGGTTATATTGGGGTTGTATTGGGATTATATTGGGGTTATATTCGGGTTATATGGGGATTTATTGGGGTTATGTTAGGGTCATATTGGGGTTTTGTTAGGGCTATATTGGGGTTATATTAAGGTTGTATGGGGACAATGGAATCCTGGAAGTAAGATGGAAACTACTAGTTAGGGTTTAGGGTTTTCTTTTTGAACCCTAGGACTTTTACGTCTGCACGATGTGCAGAGGGGAAAACAGGTCCAATGTTCCCGTGCTTACAACCGTCACACCTGCCATCGGAACGAACATTCATGGGTGACTCGTTTAGGGTTTAGGGTTTGGGGTGGTCTATACGGACTACAAGTGGGATTCACTAAGAGACTACAAGGGATTACGGGGGTCCCTCACTAGAATCGCTGCTGCACAATAATGACGATGGTTTCCGAAGTTCCCAAACTTCAATTCCTGCGCTAGCAACATTTACTCCTGGGATCCATGCAAAAAAACACCCTACTTGCTCCTGCAGAGGGACATTTTTGAAAGCAGTCTGTTTGGAGATACTCCCAACAGCAAGACTTTGGGGCTGATCTTGAAGAAAAAGCCCCCAACATCTGTGACGCCCTTGTTTCCTTTCACCGTCAAAGCCTTCCTGGTTGAGGATGAACGGCTCAAAAAAGTAGTTCGGGTGGTGGGACTTGAAGGGCAGCACATAAAAGCGATGAAGCCCTTTATATCCAACCCATAAATGCCTGGTAGTAGCTGAGGATGACGGAGCGGAGCGCCCACATGGCCATGGGCATGGAGAAAGCCAAGTTGAAAGCTACACCCGCACTGGCCAGGGACACCTTGGCTTCCCCCCCACCCCTACACAAGCATAGGTGTTTCTCAAAAAGAGGGGGATTGAAAAACTGAAAAAGCACCCATCATCTTGAGAAGCTCCTACCTTGCTTCCATGCCTCAGGCTCAGACCTTGAGGATGGGGGGGTTCCAAGACTAATCATAACTGCCCCAAGCCCAGCGCAGCAAATGCCATTTGGAGTTGAGGTAACATGAATCAACCTGCCAAGTCTCCAACGCAAACCGGACAGGACTTTGCCCAACGCTGATGCTCGCAGCCACAACTTCCAGGATATTGCTGCCACCAGACTCAAGGTGTCCAAAGCGCAGGTAGCTGCTGAGGCCAACAATTTGGTAAAGCAACGCTGCCGTACCCAGGGCTAGCAGCAACACCTTCCTGCTTTTCTAAGGGCGGTGTCTGAAAACCAAGATTCCCATACACACCTTGAAAACACGAAAATCAATAGACACCGCAACAACTGACAATTGAATTATGAACGCTGCCACCCTGCTCTGTGTGGATACTGCATTGGGAAACGAGTTGTTGGGAGCAATGGTGATTCGGGGCTTGTGATGCAAGTTGGTGAAACCCGAGTCTCCTGATGGAGGTTGCGCCCCTGCTCCCCAAGGACTCCTTGGCTCGTCTTGTAGGTGGTAGGTTGGGTCCTGCCCCGACCCACTAACAATCATATTAAGGGCTCTATAGAGTTATATCATAAATATACAGAAGGGTGTGCTGTGCGGCCTGGACTCGCGAACATACCTGAAAACACGTGTTGTCGTGATGTTAAGCGGCTTCATTATATAAATCAGGAACTATACAGAAAATTCACGACTAAAAAACCCAGGACCCACAGCGCACCGCCCTCATTTATTGTAATCCAACTGTGAATGAGCAGGGGCAGTATCCAAGTGGTAGGGCCTAAGGCTTGCAAGCTCCAAATTTTGACCTATCCAGGTACGACCAAGTCGCGTATATGGGAATCGCAGAGACGTGGCAGCTAAAGTTGGAAGTTGTCATGGCGAGACTGAGAAAGAAGTCGCTGCTTACCTAAGGTTTAGGGTTTAGGGTCCATGGCTGAATCTGGGTAGGTATGATTGGCTGATCTTTTGACTTTGTAAGTCTACATATTATCCCCAATACCCCGTATTCTGAGCCCCAGAACCCCTGTTACAAAGTAGACTTATTAAGTTCAGAGACCGTCCAAGTGGGAGTAGCGATGAAAAGGCTATCGACTACCTTGAGTTCCAGCATTGGGGCGCAACACACAAGCCACAAAAAACACATTTGGGTTCAAAGCCTGCTGCTACAGCATATGGTGCCTATCACCCGCACACCCTGGAAAGCTATAAACCAAGTTACGTTAACGAGCTGGAAGCCCTCTCCTGCTGCAGGCTTCTCCTTGGTTCGCTTTAAACATCTTATGAATGGGAGTAGGGTTCTGAAAATTATGGGTTCTAGGTTCGGGCTTTAGGTGCGCAGCTCTGAGCTTTGCCAAAACAACCACTAAGCTACAAAGTTTTGCAAACTACTCCATGTATGATCCCCACGGAGGACCCCATAGTCAGGCTCCTTATAGTCATATACCTAGGATCCCTCAGCTGAGAAACTACTACAAAAATGGAAGCAAGGCTCGCACATGAGATTTATGCCAACACGATGTAATCGCTTAGCGGTGCAAAGGTCATGACCGTAAAACACATCATACCTAAAACTGGAAGTCAACCAAAAAGCCATAAGTTCAACTACTATCCTACGGAACACTCGCGAATCGTTTTGAGAGCCCCTTCACTTCGACGCGTATGATTACATGATCTAGGTCTCAAAAAACAATCCTAAGTGCCAAATCAAAAATGATACAGGTCTCCAGAAGGGCGCCGACGTTGCAGAAAACGATAAAGCCAGCTGCGTAGCCCAAAACGATGATTGCCACGCTCGATGTGAACTGAGCTTTCCAGACTTTGATGCTACGATTCAATTTGTACGGCGCCCGTCCATGTTGCTTGTGCTACTTCTACCTTTCATACCCTCACCACTTTTCGGCATTGTCGCGGGTTTAGTGCCATGGGTTACTTGGAGACTGCAGGGATTGTAAGTGCATGGAAAATACATGCCTCATCGATGCCTAGGAGATGTAGAAGCAGGGCTTTACAAGGTCGTAGCTGCTTTCTCGGCAGTTAAAGGGCGCTTCCCACATGGATTTGATGCTGAAGAAGCCAAGCCCTCAAAAAGCTTTTTGGGCAGGCCAACTTGACCTCGAAAGCCAACGTCCTTAGCACCAAACCCTAAACCGCACCGTGCCCTCCACCTGGCCCCTGATGCTTGAAAGTGCCGGCCTTCAGCTTCGAAATGTCTCGCAGCATGCCAAGTGGAAGCACGACCTGCAGAGGTCAGCACAAATTCTGAGGTGCAAGCAGGGCTGGAGCAGCAGGTTCAAGGGCAAGCTTTGGTATTTGTGGTGGTTGCTTTTGGATGTAGGGTTGTGTTCTTCTGAGGTGTCGGGTTTGAGAGCTCACGTTGAAGGATTGTGTAGGGGTTGTGTGACAATTTGTTTGTTGTGAAAGATGCTATTTTGCATTGCTGCGACCACTGGATCCTCTGCTTGGCTCACAAGGGTTGAGCCGGGACGCCTCTCAAATCTGCTGTCAGTTGTTATATGGGACTTTCTGACGGAATAACCAAAGCCCTTCAGCCTTTACAAACTCCAAACGGTCGTAGAGTCTCTCATGGCAACAGCTGCAATCCGCCTGAAAGCCCCTCTAAAGACCTCCACAAGATCTTGCAGAAGCCCAGAAGACACCTCTCCGTCCCCCCTTAGAACCCCATTGTTGCTACTTTGGGGTCCTCCAACGAAAAGTCTCACTTTTCAATCAACACCTTCCTGCAGACTCAATTGCAGACACAGCACGCAAAGACCAACTCCCCAGAGAAGTCTTTGAGCCAAGCGCTCCACTTCTTTTTCCTGCTCACTGGTTTCACGCTTACTGCCCTCTGCAAGCAGATAAAACATGTGGACTGATGCTTGCTCGGGTTGGGGATTGATTCTTCTTTTCACTTCTGTTATTGGGGGGTGGGTGAGGGGGCCACCTGGCTTCGTATTATCCCTCTGATAGAAAGTCCCAGTTGGTTTTGCAGCTTGATGCTTTGGCTCGATCGAGCAATGCAACATCTCATACTCAAGCCCAAAGCTATGCCACACTTAGACAATTGGGTGAAAGCTTCAGGGTAAGGCAAACAGAAAGGGCGGATTGACTTACGAGCTGACGTGGAACAGCTTTGCTGTTGCTCTGGAGCATCTGATGGCTAACCAGCTTTTACCCTACTGCACACCGTTGTGCAGCATTCTTTGCTTTCCGGTGAAGCATCCCGCGCATGGACGCAAGAATAAACTGGGCGCTTACTTACACATGAACAAGCTGAAAGTTGCACAAGCCGCAACATGGGATCGCAGATGCAGGTTTGATCTCAGCCAAGCGTACCAGCAGCAGCACCAGAAGTATCAGAAGCAGAAGAAGTAGGAGTAGCAGTGACGGCAGCTCAAGCAACAGCAGCGGCACTGGCAATGGCAGTAGACATAGAGATCGTAAAAATGATTGACCAACAAGCCTTCACAAAAACATGCCACCCAAACCCTGTAAGTCATTCTATGTCCTTCCTGTGATTCGCGACAACATGTTGCTAGAAGCGATAGTTGCTTGGGCTACTTGGGCAGTTCTTATTCCGGCCCTCCAACAACTGGACCGCAAAGCCTCGCACAGTACGTGCCATCAGTCACCCGGGCTTTCAAAACCCAAGCGCATGGGGCTTTTGAACGTCAGAAAACAGCTCTCTGTCAAATCCAAAAAGTCCTTCTCATTCCTCACAAATTCCCGACCTTGAAAACTTTCAGGTAAAATCCGGCGCATGAACAGTTCTCCAGCCTCTGGCTCTTCGCCTTCGGACGCCATGTAGCTGGCAAGCACAGGTGCCATCGATCCTGCAGTGAAGAGCATGTAGGACATCCCCAATGAGAGCCCACCTCCAGGGCGCAGAGCTTCAGAATTCGGACTTGGGGCTATACCTACGAGTACAGGGGTTGTGTAGGGAATCGGCGCAGTTTATACTTTTCGTATGAAGAATAAAAGGACAAAGAAAATTGCTAAGAATATTGCTAAATGGAAACTGGGTTTGCAAGAAGCTTTATAGGCTGTCGTCGTGACAGGGTAGGGTCTGGCAGCGGGTTTAGGGATGCGGATTTCAAGTTCATGTGCCACCGAAGATGAAGACGAGCGAGATGACGTGGGATGCTGCAGAACCCAGGTACCTGCCACGGCGAGCTGCAATATGGTCCTTCAGCCTCTAGGATGTTCGTCTACAGTTCTAGGTTTGGCCGGATTCCGCACTATTGATAATGAACACGGAGTGTGGTGGCGGTCTTGCGGGTAGACCTGAACATTGAAAAACAAACCTCTGTCTAAATGGTGATATTGACTGACAGCTGTGATAAAAACTTATACCCCATAAGGTGCAGCTCTTGACAAAGAACTTGCATCCTTCATATTGGGACTATCATACACTCTTTATGTACTCTCCCTGTTGAGCCACAACTCAGACGAATCTAGAAACAAGGAGTTGTGTAAGAGTCCAGGTAGGCGGACTAATATGCTCTAAGGCAAAGAAGCATCATGAAGGTTCACGTTCTGAAGTTTGCGGGAAAAACAAATGAAAAATTGATGCTAGTATAGGTACAAGAAGGGTTTTTCTCAGCAGAAAGAGACCTGGTGATGGTTCTTCTGAGTTTGGCTCAATCCTTCACCAAACAGATCACTTACGAACGCCTCATATTCCCAGATCACACGCATGCAAAGTGTATCCCCATACGTACTATGCTATTCAGCGACGTTTATCGATTTCTTCGGAGCTTGTGAGCTGCACTCGCGAAAACCGGAAACCTAAACCTTAGCAGTATCAGTCCCTCATAATAAGCCTGAACATGCCCATCAGTCTTCCTTTGAGCTCGTGGTCGTAATAACCTAGCCCGTCAACTTCCGGCCGTGAGCCCACCTCCTCGCTATTCCTTCGTAGTTTCTTGGCGTCCCCTTTGGCAGGTGGTCGGCCACAATTGTCAGCCAATGCACGGTTGTGAAGTTCACGGCAACGACCAACCTGAGCTAGGCTCTCAGGATCTGTACGATCATTTAGGGGCATTTTGGGGGGCTTTGTGGGCCATGACTAGATTCTTGATTGGGTACCTGAGTAAAAAGAAAACTGGCCGAATTCATCCGAGGAACACGGTAATCAGCTCGTACGACAGCAGTCCTGCTATCCAACTGGAGCTGGCATCCCGCACCCAAACACCACCACCACACAGCTATGAAGCCGCCTAAATTCGAACATACGATGATGTAAGGATCTGGCAGGGACACTTTGACTCATCATGCAGCTTTCCACAGAACTCTAACCCTCTGCACAGTCTAGGGCTTGGACCCTATAATCGCTCCGCTGGACCTTCGAAAAGACATTGCCAGCACGCCTTAACTTCAAAGTTTAAGATGTTACGGTGCCCATGCCCTATGCTAGAACCACACCCTGCTCCCAAACTCTGCACCCTGATTTTGGTGCATAGCATGAAGGATGCATTCAAGCAGGATCATACAAGGAGGTATGCAAGCATACGTGTTCCAGGCATGTGAAGGCTGTATTTGACATCCTTTCCGCTCCTAGGCTACAACCATCTCTCCAATCACGCTCCCGCCTGCACTGCTCATCGCAATAGGAACAGCAAGGGTTCCAGCTCCTGCGCTTGGAACTGCAGCAGTCGTAGCAGCAGTAGCGGCAGCAGCAGGAGGATGAGGAACAGGAGTAGTAGTTGTTTTCGTTCAGCCGTAAGCGGCAGCAATAAGGTTCACTACGGCCCAGTCTTGTGCCGAAATAAAACTGCCTGAAATGACTACCGCGCAAAGCTTACAGCGATCAAGCATATGCAAAACCTGAACAGACCCAAGAGGAAGCCCGCGTCCTTCAAGGAACGAGGAAGAAAACATCCCCCCCTGAGAAAGACAACCCCGGCACGGAATGGGTCGAAGCCGCCCCCCGGCACAGACGGGCGAAATATGAAAGAAAGAGGCGGTGGAGGAGTTCAATGTGAAAACCAAGAAAGCTAATTCATGGCGCCGTCACACAAAAAAATTCTTGCGGAGCCCCCGTCCCAGGATGGTGTTCGCCGCGTTGACATAGGCGCTGAAGACAGAGCCGCCGGCAGCGTTGGGGCCTCCACCCTGGGCTTCCAGCTACACTTTTAGCAAAGATATCCTCCTGTGACCTCTAGTCTAAACTCTTAGTATCAACTTTAATACACCCTAGAGTCATCCCCTATATAACCCCTTATATAACCCCCCCATCAAGGAGTTTAACCCCCCTTAAGGAGTTCAGACTATAACACATGTGCTTTGTGGTCCGTTTACTCCAGGAGGGCTCTGGCTTCATGGAACAAAAGGGAGGATTTACATTCCTCAATTTGAAGGCTGTATGATCTGAGTCCAGCTTGGTATATTGGGCTTATATAGGCTTATATAGGGGATATATCGGTATAATGGAAACCAAAATGGCAACTTATATAGTATACTGGGATAGCATTGTTTGACTTGAAGAACAAAACATGAAACGCTGCGGCTCTTTCTCCTACACTCCATCTACTTGTCATGACATCTTGCCACCGTGACTGCCCCCACCTATGGTGAAAAATGCGCTCATCTTCAACACATCCTTTAAACAAAAACGGCTCCATGTTTTCTATGGTCTGGACCCCCATGATCCCCTTGTCGTCACATCACACATCCTTAAAACTCCAAAGGCTTCCTGATCTAAAACAACGATATGGTAGTTTCCCAAAATAGGGGGACCCCAATATAGACCCCGGTATACTATAGTCCTTGTTGGGGGGACCCCCGGTAAGGTAACCCTGATGTTGGGAAACCCTGAACCCTAAACCCCATATATCCCTATATACCCCTATATTATATTACCCTGTATAACCCCTACATATCCCGTTTAAAGTATGTCCAACCCCCCCTTCCATGTCCTCGCAAGAGATGAAGGAACCGTCCGTGTCCAGCGCCAAGCTCCGACGCCGCTCCCTGGCCTGCGTGGGCTCCGACTCCACCTCAAAGACCTCCAAAACTTGAAGTTTCGGTGGGGGGTTCCCATAATTAGAGGTACCTACTATAATGGAGAATCAAATGGAAAAGAAAATGGAAAATGAAATGGAAACTGGTTTATATAGGGGATTATAGGATGTTTCAGGGCTTTGAGATTCAGGTCTTGGGCTTTTGTTTGGGATCTGGAGCTTTCACGCAAGGACCCTGCAGCTCACGTCCGCCTTGAATCCAAAAAACATGACGACCCTGGAAACAAGCAACTAAAAAAAACCATGTTGAGGCACTGCCAGGCGAAGGAGGGAAACTTGAAACCTATCGGTACATTTAACCCTACATAATTCCTACGGCTCCTTCAGTGGCCCCCAAATAATCTCAGGAAGCACGAAGTCATACGAAGTCATGCCCATCAAGCTCACAACAAAGGGGCGCGGATCTGACTTCGGAAGGCACTGACCAAAGGGGAGCTTAAGGGCTTTAGGGCTTAGGAAGTTTTGATACCGTACACCAGACGAAGTCAAGCTGTACTATCCCACACCATGGCCCCCCCCAACGTCAGATAATGCCTGAATAAGCCGAAATGATGCTTGATTGGGTATTGGGTTTGGGGTAGTATGACCAGAAGGCTCAATGATGTCATACTTGAAGTTTGGAACCTCACCAGATAAGAAATGCTGACACCACCAGCGCCTCCATCACACTCTTTCGCACCCAGGAGAGCGCGGCCACAGAGCAGCGTGTGCTTGAACGTTTTAGAGTGATCATACAATGGCTTGGGGATATGCGAATGGCTAGCTCGCAGGCCTGATGATCCAAGGTCACATTGTTAAGCATGCGATAGGGGGCTGCTGAAAGCCACCATTATGATGCTGAAAGCCACCATTATGAAGCATTCCTCTGTGATGTCTTGCCGGTATTCGGCAAATTAGAAGCCAAATGGCTGCGCCGCAGGAAATGGCGCGAGGTTAGGGCTTTGAGCATGCATGACTCAGGTCTGGATGTTTTGGGAAGAATGAGGATGCCTGTACTCGGCTGCTTTAAAGACACGCCATTCATTTTAAGAAATGCCCATCTTTCTCAAAGGACGAGAAGAGCCCGGGCCATGGGCCGCCATGTGCGCAGAGCACTTCTGCTTTCGAGCCTGCCAAGAGCTTTTCGGAAATTTAGGACGGCTCCCATTGCTTCTGTGGCCTTGTACCTGAATTTTCGAAACTCTAATGCCTGCTTACCCTCCCCCTCCATCCGACCGTCTCATTGCTACCAACACGACCTTCCATTTCCCGAAGCTTTGAAATCCCAACTCTACACCGGCCTTGACCTACACTGTAGCTCCTTGCTACTCCTTCCATCGGCCCGAACCAAAAAAAAGTAAAGCTCCAACAGAAGCCATGATCGCAGCCTAGTTCACAAGCAATTCTTCCCATGAATTAATATACACGAAAATGAGCAGGCGAGAAAGCTCGCAAGCTACGCATCCATGCCAGCGCAACAAATGCCTATGATATCCTTCCAGATCTCCCTGGAACTGTCCAGGCACATGCATCAACTCTTGCAGAGCATCCTCACCCTGCTTGTCAAGCAGAGCAATAGCTTGTGTCAAACAAAAGGCAATGGTTGGCAATGGGCTCACAAGCCCTTACAAACTGGCAGTAACCCTCAAAGCTAATCAAAGAAAAAGAGTCTGCACTGTTTGGGCCCCAAGCCTGGAGTCTAGCTCAATGTGCCCAAAAGAGGGTCTCCCGCCAGCAGCAGCCCGCGACCCTGTAGTCCCAAGAGCCAAACACCAAACGCCCCAAACTTGAGATGGACAATCTGAAGCCTAAGCCTAGACTGGGCTGAAGCCTCTTGGAGTTCTTTGATGCGCTTGTCGCGCAGCCTCTCAAACCTTGCAGTGGCAAAGTGCTTCATTTCGAGGACTTGAGGATGCGTTCACCCCGCTGTCATCAAGCGCCCTAGGAAGCCCAAAGCTACATCCTCACAACGAATGAAGACAGCTAGACCTCAGCCTGCAGTCGTCACCACAGATTCAAGGCAAACACGCCTTAGGTGCTCCTTGCCTGAGATAAGGCTATGGCCCACGTGGGGCGTTCATGTCCTATGCGAGTCCAACCTATGAGCTCCCATGGACACCTATACAAATCACGAAACACACCAACATCGCAAGGGCGAGGTTGCCGGACTCCACCGAAACTTCCACCTCCTAAATCGGCAACACCCTTAACGCACCAAGCATACCTACCCCCAGAAAAACAAAGCACAAACACACTACTCACTATAGCCCCCACAAAACTGGCAAAGCCCGCGAAACTTGTCATCCTTGAGCAAGCGGGCTGCCGTAGCATGCTCTCCACCAGTTCAACCATTTAAACTGCTGGGTGTCCTCTCTACTCTAGATCCAAAATCAGACTATTGCAGAGCTCGCATTCTCTCCACGGCCCAGTTCCGCTTCTGGCATCAACCCTTCGCACTAAGAAGCCCTTAACCTGCAACCAAAAAGGCCGAAGCCGGATCCTGAACAAGGGTCTATGTCAGAGTCTATGTAGGAACTATTTGCAGCACTTGTGTCTCTATAATGGGTGGATGCTGGCGGCGTATGTACCCCTGCAAGCTTTAGGACCCAAACTTCGCACGACGGTGCTGTTCCTCCATTTCAGCCTGAGCTGTCAAACACAATGGGGATTGTGGGAGTACATGTGGGATTAAAAGCTTGGAAGTAGTTCTGAAACCGCATATGGTGTGATTTGAGGGCTTAAGATTCAGGATGAGCTTATGCTGAGGTTGCGTTTGAGTTGAATTTCTCTTGGGGCACGCTCAGTAATTAGTTTTGTGCCTTGCACAAGAGGATTCCTCTTGTGAACCCAAGCCTTTGTGCTTGAAACGCTTCTCCAAGCTTCCTCACTCTTTCATCCCGAGGCTATTGGGAGACTCCAGCCAACACTAAGCGTGAACAACCACGCAGGCAACCTGGGTCAGAATAAACGGCTTGGAAGCTGCCCTCAGCCTTCAAGAAATCCCTATACGCGAATCCTGGCTGAGACGGTTGCGCGCATCTTGGCTTCCACCGCGTCCAGGACTTTGTCCGTGTCCGACTTGCCGGCCTCCTGTATGCGTCATGCCAGCAATTAGAATTCCTGCCATGACTACTGGAAAGAAAGCCTGACTACAGAAGCATCTAGGAGGTGAAAATTCACAGCTCGGGAAGTGGAGATTCGGGAAGCAAATTCATGGAACATAACTCAAGCCTGCCTGAAAGCCCCTCCCAATTCTGCAGAACAGACAAACCACTAATTGGGACTGGCCACGCATTGCGCAGTACTGAAGGTCTCAAGTGAACGCTTCTGGGCTAAGGGCCCAGCAGATGCACAGGATCCCAAACCTTTAACGGGATTTGATTCAAAACCGCCGCCATCACCACTCCCACCAGAATCCCCTGTAAAAATGTAGCATTTGCTGCTATGTTCCTTGCCAGGCCCTAGATTGGCCAGGTGGAGAGCCAAGAGCAGAATCCAACAGAGAAGCCTCAAGAATCCCCACCGCTTTTCCAGACCCCCAGTCAGACTAGATCTACACTCGTGCTCCCATGTCGCTGCAACAGTACAGTCGTCTCCAAGCAAGATCAAGATTTTAGACTACAGATCAGAAAGTGCTGCAGCCAGAACTACGTCGTTTCCCTAAAGAGGGACCCCAATGTAGACCCCAATATACTATAGTCCTTATTATGGACCCCCAAAAAAACCTTAGGACACTCCATGTGCCTTCCCAATTCCCCCCCCCCTGTCCGGAACTCGACTGGCACGCTTGTTCTCCTTCTACTAACTGGGGGTAATGTAGGGAACAAAGGAATATGTTATCTTCGGAAGCATGCTTCTGTCATTGGGGTAGTATAGGGTTATATAGGGACTGTACAAACAGTTAGTAGGACACTAGCCATGTAGCCATTACTAGATGATAACAGCCGTAGATTTGAGCAAGGTTTCTACATCAGTCAGCGGATGACATGTAAGGTTTCCCCAAGATGTACTCTGTGCTTTGTCTTTCCGGGATTTTCATCTACTGAGAGATGGCTTTGAGGGCTAAGGATCTCATCAGGATGGGTGGGTGTGCCCTGAGCAGGAGTTGTCATACTTTAGAAAGGACATGCAGACGGACAATTCTTTGCAAGAACTTTGATCATCAAGACCTCATGCGTGAACCCTACCAATGAGTGGATCCAAAAGCATGCCCCCCTCATCTGTTCTTGAGTCTCTCAAAAGGTTGTTGGTGGCAATTTGTTCCATTGCGACTCAAAGCCTACACGCTAAATCATCTGAAAGCTCTGCAGTATCCCTGTACAATGCGCGCTTACTCTGCATATGAGAGCGTTCTAGCGCGGATGAACGAATCTTAGCGGGCTCAAAGGATCATGAGGGTAACTGTCCTTCTATTAAAGTCTTTACGATCCCTTGATATGTTTTCACTACAATCCAGCTTCGTGGAAGTCCCAAACGTCCTTGGCGCCCTCTTCCTTTTGCGCGTTCCTTGGCAACCGCTGCCAGGCTACAGATGTGGAGCATGGGGACTCCTTCGGAAGATCCGTGATGGGGATAGGTTCGTTAAGATGTATAACGATGTATCCAGGAAGATCCGTACGTAATCCAGCAAGCGGAGGCTCATGAACACATAGACTACAAAGCCTCTGAGGATCTCCAAAGAGTGAGACCTTCCATTTCCGGCCACTACATGTGTGCAACCCTAAACCTTCGATCACCCAATCAGACGCAAAACCTGCCCTCTCAACGCAACTGGCGAATTTGAGGGACGAGCTTGCCCTTCTTCTTGACCTTCTTTGGCACGGCACGCTTCTCGTGGTACCTGCGCCACGGACATGTGGGGCTTTTCAAGTTCTCAGTCCAGGGTCAAGGGTTAGAGCCTATGACTTACATTGTACGCATTTACGTTGTAGGGCCTCGTGGTTTATGATTCGGGCAGTGGGGGGCGATGAGCGCTTTGGTTTGCCAGTCCCTACATTACACCATGC